GCTAAAAAACAAACACCAGCCAAAACGTGATATCAAGGTTGTGGTCACGCTATCGGATTTGATTTTGGATTGCTAGTACTGGGGATGTGACTGAACGGAACACGGTAGATATCATGTTACTACGCAGAGACAGGATCGCTTTCTCCAAATGACCGCCAGAAGACAACCCAATATCACAGCGATGAAACTACTACAAAGGCACCAGGAGGACCACCAGCTGCTGGTAAACGGCTAAATCGTGTGAAGGAGGTTGCATGATGTTGTTCTTCATGCTCGATGACCGTTACGTGTTCCAGCATTGCAACGTGGCAATCGCGGTCGGTGGCTTTCGTGATCTCGGGAGCATTCAAGTCCCGGTTTGGATTTCATCCGGATTCACGAAGAACACGCTTTTGGAGAACTCCAGAGAGAGTTAGCCGTCTACGGCACCTTCAGGAGGTCCACTCATACCAAGGCGGGACAATCATGGTGTGGGCAGGAATTCGTCTTGGCGAACGAACCCAGCTCGTTTGAACTAAGGCAGCATGACTGCACAAAAAATTACGCTTACGCTTAATTAGGATTACTAAGCTTTTCAAGACGTACTGTCAGTCATTTTATACGTGCAATCTGCGGGTTAACTTTACCTAGAGGACATACAATGATCTTCGCGTACAATACATAACGCGTTCTAGTAAACGTTACGCATCACACCTCAGGCGCATTCGCAACAGCCCTACTGTTAGTATTTTGCACGTGTTGACAGACCATTAGGACTCGCCGATGCTTGCTCGATGGATAATGGCTGCACGCAGTCAAGTAGTCATTTTGCGGGCAGCGGCGGGGGCCACGTGTTTGCCTGTGTTTTACGTTTTATGTTGAATTGTCCAATTACTAACTTTAGTTATAAGCTCAAAAAATTGTAACTAACCCATATGGATCATGATGTCCGAAATAAATGTTTATTTGTCTGCTATTGTCCCACACAGAATCCCAATGGGCCAGGAATGTCTACCCATGTATGATAATACTCCTTCCCATACGGCGCGGCAGGTGTAGGCCGCTCTCCGAGACCACGATATTCAAGTTTTGGATTGGCCTGCACAGTCGCCCGACTTAATTCCTATCGAACATGCCTGGGACATGTTACAACGAAAAGCTTTGAGAGATTTCCCGCCAAATTTGACGACGGAACAACAACTTTATGAACATTACGTAGTACTAAGTACTATTTATTCTGTGCGAACACTTGCAAAGAACATGGGACCTCTTACCGCAACAAGACATTGACAATTTATTTTAAGTATGAACAATCGATGTCGATGTGTAATTAATGTAAGAAGTAGCAACACTTATTATTATTAATAATTAGATTTTATAACATTTTTTAAATTTTAATTAAAATTAATAGTTTTATAAGAATAAACGAATTTTTTTTACATAATAATTTTCTATGGCGATTAAAGAAATTAACATTTTTATTTAAAACAAAAAAATTATGAAATGACTTTAATTCCTTAAAATAACATATCATTCTTCCATTTACTATATTAGAAAATTCTTCATAGATTTTTAGATATTTGATGAAATATAAAATATCCATAGATTCTGTTGATGTGCTTAAAGCTCCAAAAACATTCACCTCTAATTATTATAAAATCGTTTTCAGTCTCTAAAAAATTGCAATACTGTGGATGAAGCTCGTGGAAACTGTCCATACTGTCAGCGGAGCTAATTCCGTTAGATCGGTCCCAGAAGAACGCAATAACTCTCTTTATGTCATGGCTATAAGACGGAACTTCAGCAGACATAACAGCATATAGGCAACTGAACACACTAGATATCCGAATGCATGCAACCCATATTATGCAACTGTAATAATATAGTTTGTGTTGAAGAATCGATTAAGCGAAATCAAGGCTACAAAATCTTTGCCAAAAAATCTGTCTGCCGAAAAGAGCTTACTGTCAAAATTAAAGTGTTTCCGGGAAATTTGAGTGAGATTGAGAAAGGTTTTACAAAGCAGCAGCCAAGTGTAGGTAAGTAACGATCCAAGAACAAGTTACATCCAAAACTATTCTGATGATATCCCAGACGTCATTCTAAATGAGATTAGAATAGCTCTCCAGCACCTTATAAACGGCAAGGCCCCAGGCGAAGATGGAGTTATATAGAAGTTTCTAAAAGTAGGTGGAAAACCGGTATTTCAAGTTCTTTAGAAGCTCTTCAATTCCGTCCTCCATGGTGGCACTACTACGTAAACATGGAGCAAAAGTGCGGTGGTCTTGGTCTTCAGAAAAAAATGACATCGCTATATTAAATAACAGCATACTACATGGACATCAACGAAGAGTACTTCACTCCACAGGGCACAAGTCATGTAAATAACACAAAACACTCATGTCATACTTATGCCAGTAGTTAACGTTTTTGACAAATATGTTACCTATAACAATTTTTTTATACATAGAATAAGAATGACAAACGAGCACACAGTCCAACTGATGATAAGTGGATCCTGTGATCCATGAACATCTATATTTAACTTCAATTAAGAATCAAAATGCAAATGCGTTGTCACCCCTGAGGACTGAGATGCCTCGTTTCCAGTAAAAAGGGTCTCTGGAAAGGTAACTTACCTTACGAAACACAGCAACATTAAGCAGCTATTTTACGCTGGTATTCTGTGAGAGTGTGGTCCTACTCCGGTCGAGCCACCCATTCATGCTACAACCAGTCGTCGTGGTCGATCAGCTGGTGATCTTCTGGTCTACCTGACTCATAGATGGGCGGCGGCAGTAGAGTCCAAGGGGGAGGCCGTTAGTTTGGACATTGCGAAGGCCTTTGATCGGGTTTAGCACAAAGCGCTTCTTTCGAAGCTCGAGAAATTGTGCAATTGGATCACCAGCTTTCTTGCAGATCGGAGCATCAAGGTCGTTGTAGACGGTGCAAGCTCCGATAACAATCCTATTAACGCTGCTGTTCCACAAGGCTGCGTGCTGTCACCAACGCTGTTTCTTCTGCATATCAACGATACGTTGCAAACCGGCAACACTCATTGCTATGTAGATGACAGCACTGTTGTTGCTCTGCACACCGGCCAATATTTCTCGGGAAAATGTCTCCGAGTACCGGGACAAACTTGTGTTTGAAGTCCTTAAACACTTATTGGGTTTTTTCTTTCAATTTTCAGTAGCCGTCCGAAGTAAGGAAGTTCGCGGTGCTTCACCCCCGTGTCTTATCTGCCTTCGGTAGTGTCGAATTTCCGTCCCATCGAACTACGAGAAAGAAGGAATAAGCATGCACCTGTTTTACTGCATACATTCGGGAATTGTCCTGCGCAGAAGGCTTATCTCTGTTAAGACTGGTCACCTTGACCGCAATTCGGTCTGAAGGACACTACAATTTCTGACGAATGACGAATTTCTGACAAGATGTGTTCTGCTGAACCTCTTAAAAGCTGCCCAGCCGAAAAGGATTCGTCAATTGGCCTCTTGGTCGAAGTTGGACTTACCTAGTCGGAGTTTCCTAGATAAACATATCGTCTCAACATCGAACGTAGTGTTCCCGACAACTTCTGAAGTATTGGATAATAATAAAATAATACTAAGTAAGCTATATTTTACCGGTCGATCAGCAGTAAAACAAGAATGTTAGTTTAAGCTGTATCCATATTAGGTAATTTTTAATATATTATAGGCCAGTGCTTGACTACTCACTCTCTCTAGCTTAACAATATCCTATTCACTCATGTCTTGGCTTTGGAGATACCCACATTGTAATCAGATGGTGACAGATGCTGGGAAATGTTCCAATCCAAATTTTATATGTGGTACAGCCATGCTGCAGTTATATTTGTAGTATAGTAGTAGCACGAATGGGTCGGCTCGACCGGGGAAGGACCACGCTCTCACAGAATACCAGCGTGAAATAGTAGCCTAATGCTGCTGTATTTCGTATGGTGAGAACCGGAGACCCCTTTTACCGGAAACGAGGCATTCCATCTTAGTCCTCACGGGTGACAACGCATCTGCATTTTGATTTGTAATCGAGGATACATGTAGATGTCTATGGGCCGCAGCAACCACCTACCAAAAAAAATCCATTGCTCTGTACATTATAGATGACGAAACAAACCGTTTCGTTCGAATATAAGGTATGCCGATAATAAAGTGGTGTATCCGATGTAGGGGGTAAGAGGAATTAAGTCATGCAATTCCTGTATTCACCAATAATAGAATACTTAGGAACTGAACATTTTGCGCGAGTACTCGAAACTGGCACGATTGGCTTTAACTCGATTAGGTCATCAAAAGGCCCCTTAGCTCATTTTTCATTTAATCCAAAGCCGCTATTTTCCAGTCCCAGTCCATATATAGTAGTAATTCTCCATGCACAACCACACTTGCGCTTTATATCGAGTAAGCAGCCGTCCCGGTATAATTATTTATATAGCTCAGATTGAATTGTTTTGCCCTAAACTGAGATTTATCCATTACCCCTGTATGAAATGGATGTACAGCAGAAATTTTTAATTTATAAGAACCTACTATTTGTCCTTTTCATAAGCATAGTGATGGAAATATATAATAGTAAAGTAATTACACGATGGGTTTCTCTATATTATACAAAAGTAGGTACCGACTCTACGCAGTTGGGAATAACGGTTTCTAATTTATAAAAAGGAAGCAGGAAGAGATCACTGTTCTTCTCAATTGCGAATAATGACGATGATGATGATGATGAAGGGTGAATACAAAAGATGGATGCGGTACAACGCTATGACTCTCTCTAAACTGTGGAGTGCTTGATGGCTAGTTTGTATGATATGCGTATATAAAGTCCGACATTTCCGACCGACTTTCAGCGAAACCTTTGGCATGTTGTTTATGGATCTCACAAATTATTATTATGTCACGATCATAGTACAAAATTAAGATTGGTAAATAATGACAAATAATACACAAAATTTTAATGCATTATTTAATAAAAAATTATGACACTTATAACGAGGTTATTCATTAATTACATCTGTCTAACTTTGCTTTTGTTGCAGCCTGAATCAACTGTTTTCGAATTTCAAATGCAATAACTGCTGCTGCCATTCCCGTGTTTAAGCTATCGACACCTCTTTGAAGAGGAATATTTATCCGTAAGCCATTATTTGTTGTTCCTAACCTGTAAATTAATTTAAATTATTTATGATTCTAAGCATACATAAAACATAAAAATAACTTTATAAGCTGAATACAAATATATCATACCTATAGCTCATTTCACTTATACCTTCCGTCTCTCCTCCTATAATGAGTGTTACATGTTTTAATGAGGCGAAATCAACTGCATAATATGGCAATATAGGTAAGCATGACCCAACATCTAATTTATGTTCTGCAGGGTCATTTTCAGATAAGTTCGTGTTACTATCAGCTATAAAAAGTGAAGTATTTTTAGGCAAATGTTGAGGTATTTCCTCCCAATCTATCGAAGGATAAACAGGCAATCTGAAGTGAGCTCCTGCTGCACTTCTGATCACTTTCGAATCCCACATATCAACACATCCTGAAAATGATTAAACAGATTTATTTTAATATAACACTACAAGGGAATGTATACAATGGTTATAGATCTATCATAAAAGGATCAAGAGTAAGCGAGAGGTTGCATCACCAGTAGAGTGTGAAGTGTGGTAGAGTTGAGAGTATATCAAGAAACCCCCACTCATTTGTGCAATATAAAGTTTACTATAGGCGTGTAATGGCCCTGTCTGTTATAGTGATTCTTTTAGTGCAGGCAAGGAATATGGTGCTGCTGAGAAGCAACCCTATGTCACACTGAGATGTGTAGTGTTGCTGTTGGATGGCATACTATGGTATTATCATGTAATTACACCCCTAACATTACACTACTGTGTAATTGTGTCGGGGTACAAAATTACGATATGGTCGAACTGTAATTGCTCTATACTGAATGTATTGCATTACGCTGTCTTACTGCTGGTAATAATTGATTAGGTAAGCAGAAGAGCAAGTTAAACATCCACTCTCACACTATTAATATTTTAACAATTAATCTCCTGATGTATTTCATATAACATATTTTTATGTAGTGAGTCAAAACACTTATTTCTGGTAGAGTTAATAATGTTGCGCGCCTAAGTTGACGTCATGTACCCGGCACTAGCGCCATCTAGTGTCGGGGACGAGAGCGAGGAGGGCTTCCTAGAAAATGTCAATCTTGATTTTCGACCAACAGCGCCATCTAGTACCGAATTGAAGAACTAAGCTTTCTGGAAGCCCCACACTCGAACTTTCTGCGCCTGGTCGGTTGGCGCGCGTATTTACTTGAATATTCTGGACGTTTCGGTGAAAAATGTGTATTTAAAGGCGCTGCAAGACGCGGTCGGGGCAGTATTGAATTTGGCGAGACAAGCGAAGCTTCGGAGCGAAATAAAGTGAATCAGTGTGAATTATTAGTGTTTTAAGTTTTATTTGCTGTAAAGAAAATTAAAGTGTAAATTTTAGTAATTCAATCGGCAGTTTTTATTGTCACGAACCTCAAGCTCGTAACAATAAGCTACATAGACTTAGATCCCTTATTAGAACCACTGCCCAACGGAGTCCAATAAGGATTCTAAGGTTCAGATTCACAACTTATTTTTAACATTATAAAATAAAAATTATAAAGGTAAAGTTAAAAATATAGTAAAAAATAAAGTAGAGCTTTTATAAGTTCTACTGCTGGCCACATGCCTCTTATTTCTCAAAGGCTCCGTCCAAGCCTGTTTATATAGTCAGATTCATAAACCCAAACATACTTCCTGTAAGTTTACTTGATAATTAACTTCCATTATGATTATTAGCAAGTAATAAATAATAATGGATAAAGAGCCGTGGTAGCTCAGGGGCTTAGTGTTCGTTGTAAATTTACAGTATGCGAGCAACCCGGATTCGATCCCCGCCGGCACAAATGAAATTATTAATTGCAATTTTAAGTGCTGATATATCATGTGCTTGGCGGTGCAGGAAACAGAAATGCGAGGAGGCCTGTGTCCAGCTGTGGGACGTATATAGGCTGCAACTTGTGAATTGTTTGTAAACAGATTACTTTGTAGCTTATTTTTATGAAAATAACGAACAAGCTAACAGTCCAGCTGATGGTATATGGCTTCTACTTATGGACACATGCAGCCTACTTCAAACAAATAAGGCTACAGGTGCTTTGTCATTATGTAATTATATTGGTTCTATACTCTTCAGACCGCTTCACTAGTGCGGGCACTGCTATTTGGCGGCAGAAATAGATAAAGGGGTGGTACCTCTTACCTATTTCCATTTCTTCAAATAGACAGACTCCTTGTCATAAAACGAATCCTACCACTTATTACATATTAACATATAATTTGAATTGAAAATTTGGGACCAAAAAAGCTCAAAGTTTTCACAGATGGTTCTAAGACAAATGAAGGTGTGGGGTCTGAGGCTTTCTCTGAAGACCTTAATATCCACATATGCACACCGCTGGGTATCCATAACACAGTCTTCCAGGCTGAATGCATGGGTATCATCCAACCATAGCAATAGATGCTAGGAAGGTGAAAGACTTCTCCATCAGAATATTGACCGACAGTATGGCCACGTTAGAAATACCCTTAACCGACGAGCATGTATGCGTAGATATATGGATGTAAAGGAGGCGAAAGAGGTATGTCAGGATCGTGCCAAATGGAAGTCCGTAGTCTCTGCCTACCCCTCTAGATGACAGACGTGAGTGTTTAAATATATATATATATATATATATATATATATATATATATATATATATATATATATATATATATATATATAGTATGGCGATACTACAAGCTCTGAGTTGCAATGTAGCGAACTCGGGACTGATATATGAGTGCCATCAATGATTGAATGAGGTATGTACGCACAACAATGTAACTCTGCAATGGATCAAGGGACACAGTGGATCTAGAGGCAACGATGCAGCAGAGGAACTGGCCAGAAGGGGTTCGGCTCTGGCAACTATAGGGCTGGAACCTATAATACCAATTCCCTTTGGCTACATTCGTTCACTGGTACGTAGATACTTCAATCAATCTTTGGAAAATTTAGTAGACTGTAGACAAGCTAGAGAGACCCTGCCTGAAATAACCAGTCGTCTAACCAAGTTTCTAATTAGACTGAACAAGCCACAGATCAGGATAGTAACAAGTGCTATCAGAGGACATGGCTCTTTTAACAAATATTTGTTTACCATAGGTGTTACTGATAGCTCCATGTGCAGAGCATGCATGGGAGAGGAAGAAACGGCGGCTCACGTGTTGCTGACATGTCCAGAAGTCGCTTCGTACTGGGCTAAACATCTCGGCACGCCTGGATCGCTCACCGAAGGGATCAAAGGACTGTCGAACTTCTTCGGGGAAATATCATGGCTTGAATAACCACATTATTCCTGCCCACACGCAAAATACGCGCTTAGACGTGGAGTTGCGGAAAACAGCCTGTCGTAAACTAACTAACTAACATACAATTTTGGATTTTTGCAAAGTTGCTGACTACGAACTACACAATTTGTGTTCACTTTTGATTTTATATAAAATTCCCACAGTTTTCTTCTAAAATATCTAATTTATATTGATTAAAATAGTACATGGATTTTTCACATGACTTTTTAAGAAGCTGATAATCAGTTACCACTCTTTACTGATTATACGGCTCTTCATTTATCATTATCATGTCATACATACTCTAAGTGATTGGTACAATATTAAGATTTACCCTTGCTTAGTAAGACTTTTTCACAACCAACTCCAACAGCTGCTCGAAGAATGGCACCCAAATTTCCTGGCACCCTAATATTATCACACAAGAATTGAAGTGGTAGCGGTTTTGATAACCTTTTAACATTTTCTGGAGTGGGCATTTCAAATACACCTGAAATTAAAGAAAATTAGAAGTATTTACGCTTATTCATAAATAGATTTGACAAAGGATATTTCTATTATTACATCATACAAACAGCCTTAGGCCTTTCCAAGAAGTACTTACAGGCAACAATTTTTAGATCTTTCTTCTATGAAAATAAATTTTAACTATGTGATGGATGTCAACCTTAATTGCTTGCTTTAATATGAGGAAGTTCAAGGTCGATCAGCGTGGTATGGCGACAGAGCTATGCCGGGAGCTTCTCTGGATGATAGGACTTTTTAATAAGGATTGATTTGATATATTTCTGCCACCAAGCAGCAGCAGTGTTCCAGTCTGAAGGAAATAGATAGCCAGAACAATTACAGGCGGTAAGGCATTCCATCTTAGTCCTCAGTGGTTACACCACATCTGTAACTTTCTTTGTATACAGTTAGTTGCAGGTGTCCATCAGCTGCAATAGTCACTGACCATCAGATGGTTTGTTGTACCGCTGGTCACATCCATTTTCTATTTAAAAAAAAAATCCGCAGTAGAACTGGTATAAGCAACATAGCCAAATTAATTACCTGAAATGGGAATGGGCTCGAAAATTTACAACTGATGGGGAAGAATGGTTCTAGGATGACAGACTCATACCGGTAAGCAGGTGTCCGGTAGCGCCATCATTTATACATTCATAAATCATACTTTGATGTACGGCGGCCCTTCATTAGATAGTGGAACATTTTATAGATTTACATATTAATGTTCGTTCCAGTGATTATTGCATAAGATTAAGCAATAAGCTTATAATAAAATCAGAGAATTATTTCTGGGTAAAATCTATCCCCAAAATTGTAAAGTGGAAAAGTCCATCCATTATTAGAAGGGCAAAGTCAACATATTTTACAGCATATGCACCATTATCCCAACACTTCATTATTCAATCTAAGCATTATAACTATGTATGTCCTGCTTCATAGTTATTTTAGAGAATCCTATTTGTTATAAACAAAAATATTCGCTTTTAACTTGATAAATACCAAGGACATACGTGATAGTATGTGGCGGATCTGTCGTCGCGCCACAAGCGAAACACACCGAAGCCTAAATCGCGTTAAGTTCCGAATCATAAACAGTATATACAGAACAGCTCCGAACTATCACATGGAGCGTTGGCCGCTCCCCGGGAACACCTTGCCTGGCGGGAGATCTACCCTTTTCCTTCTACGGCCACAAGTACAACATAAGTATCTACCTTTTTTATGCTTAATTTATGATTTTAAGCAAAAATAATTGTAATATTGTTTTTTGCGTCAGAATTTGTTAGAATTTCTATTAAAAATAAATGGACAAAGAATTAACATGCCCATTTTATGTTTTGTAGTTAAATGTTTTCAAATATTTAACCTTTTATATTATTGAAACAGCAGAATGCATTCATACTTATAAAAGCCATAAATTTATGGGTAAACTTGCTACTGAACTGAACATTTTGCGCGAGTACTCGAAACTGGCACGATTGGCTTTAACTCGATTAGGTCATCAAAAGGCCCCTTAGCTCATTTTTCATTTAATCCAAAGCCGCTATTTTCCAGTCCCAGTCCATATATAGTAGTAATTCTCCATGCACAACCACAATTGCGTTTTATATCGAGTAAGCAGCCGTCCCGGTATAATTATTTATATAGCTCAGATTGAATTGTTTTGCCCTAAACTGAGATTTATCCATTACCCCTGTATGAAATGGATGTACAGCAAAAATTTTTAATTTATAAGAACCTACTATTTGTCCTTTTCATAAGCATAGTGATGGAAATATATAATAGTAAAGTAATTACACGATGGGTTTCTCTATATTATACAAAAGTAGGTACCGACTCTACGCAGTTGGGAATAACGGTTTCTAATTTATAAAAAGGAAGCAGGAAGAGATCACTGTTCTTCTCAATTGCGAATAATGACGATGATGAAGGGTGGATACAAAAGATGGATGCGGTACAACGCTATGACTCTCTCTAAACTGTGGAATGCTTGATGGCTAGTTTGTATGATATGCGTATGTAGAGTCCGACCTTTCCGACCGACTTTCGGCGAAACCTTTGGCTTGTTGTTTATGGATCTCACAAATTATTATTATGTCACGATCATAGTACAAAATTAAGATTGGTAAATAATGACACATAATACACAAAATTTTAATGCATTATTTAATAAAAAAATTATGACACTTATAACGAGGTTATTCATTAATTACATCTGTCTAACTTTGCTTTTGTTGCAGCCTGAATCAACTGTTTTCGAATTTCAAATGCAATAACTGCTGCTGCCATTCCCGTGTTTAAGCTATCGACACCTCTTTGAAGAGGAATATTTATCCGTAAGCCATTATTTGTTGTTCCTAACCTGTAAATTAATTTAAATTATTTATGATTCTAAGCATATATAAAACATAAAAATAACTTTCTAAGCTGTATACAAATATATCATACCTATAGCTCATTTCACTTATACCTTCCGTCTCTCCTCCTATAATGAGTGTTACATGTTTTAATGAGGCGAAATCAACTGCATAATATGGCAATATAGGTAAGCATGACCCAACATCTAATTTATGTTCTGCAGGGTCATTTTCAGATAAGTTCGTGTTACTATCAGCTATAAAAAGTGAAGTATTTTCAGGCAAATGTTGAGGTATTTCCTCCCAATCTATCGAATGATAAACAGGCAATCTGAAGTGAGCTCCTGCTGCACTTCTGATCACTTTCGAATCCCACATATCAACACATCCTGAAAATGATTAAACAGATTTATTTTAATATAACACTACAAGGGAATGTATACAATGGTTATAGATCTATCATAAAAGGATCAAGAGTAAGCGAGAGGTTGCATCACCAGTAGAGTGTGAAGTGTGGTAGAATTGAGAGTATATCAAGAAACCCCCACTCATTTGTGCAATATAAAGTTAACTATAGGCGTGTAATGGCCCTGTCTGTTATAGTGATTCTTTTAGTGCAGGCAAGGAATATGGTGCTCCTGAGAAGCAACCCTATGTCACACTGAGATGTGTAGTGTTGCTGTTGGATGGCATACTATGGTATTATCATGTAATTACGCCCCTAACATTACACTACTGTGTAATTGTGTCGGGGTACATATTACGATATGGTCGAACTGTAATTGCTCTATACTGAATGTGTTGCATTACGCTGTCTTACTGCTGGTAATAATTGATTAGTTAAGCAGAAGAGCAAGTTAAACATCCACTCTCACACTATTAATATTTTTAACAATTAATCTCTTGATGTATTTCCGACAATTCCAACATATTTTTATGTAGTGAGTCAAAACACTTATTTCTGGTAGAGTTAATAATGTTGCGCGCTTAAGTTGACGTCATGTACCCGGCACTAGCGCCATCTAGTGTCGGGGACGAGAGCTTCCTAGAAAATGTAAATCTTGATTTTCGACCAACAGCGCCATCTAGTACCGAATTGAAGAACTAAGCTTTCTGGAAGCCCCACACTCGAACTTTCTGCGCCTCGTCGTTTGGCGCGCGTATTTACTTGAATATTCTGGACGTTTCGGTGAGAAATGTGTATTTAAAGGCGCTGTAAGACGCGGTTGGGGCAGTATTGAATTTGGCGAGACAAGCGAAATAAAGTGAATCAGTGTGATTAATTATTAGTGTTTTAAGTTTTAATTGGTGTAAAGAAAATTAAAGTGTAAATTTTGGTAATTCAATCAGCAGTTATTATTGTCACGAACCTCAAGCTCGTAACAATTGGCGTCAGAAGTGGGATAAAATCATGCCGATTTTACCTAAGGAGGAAACGGAGGGTGTCCGTACCCGAAGTCAACGCCAGCAGGAGACGGACCAAAGATTTGGTGGTGCAACGCCGCAGACGTCGGAGGGCCAGCCACCGGCTGCAGGCCCTTCAGTAGCTCCTACATCTGCAGCACCTGACTTAGGTGCTCTGATGGTGATGCTGCAGGAGCAGGCTCGCCGACAGGAGGAGCAGGCCCGTCGACAGGAGGAACACGCCCGTTAGATGAAAGAGCAGCAGGAGGCACAGGTCCGCCAGCAGGCGGACAAGAAGAACAGGCCTGTCGGTTGGAAGAGCAGATGCTCCTCATGAAGGACCTTCACGCTACCTTCGGGAAGGAGATGAAGGAGGTGAAGGATAAGGTTGCTCAACATGACAACCACCTGTCGGAAGCTGAAACCCGAATCGAGAAATCTGAAACCCCAATCGACCAAGTGAACAATCGGGTAGACAACGTGATGGCTGACGTGAAGAAAACGCTGGACGACCTCAAACTGGGGAATGGAGTCACAGCTCCCGTAGTAGCTACAACACCTTCGCTACGTGGGTTCAAAGTGGCACCGTTCGACGAGATTTCTTCCTGGTCAGCCTACAAAATCCAATTCGAGGCTGTTATGAAGGCGAACGGCTGGAATAAGTCAGGCCCTGACTGCTCTCACACTAGGCCTGCGCGACCAGGCCTTAACAGTTCTGGAAGCTCTCAGTGAGGAAGTGACTTATGAGCAACTCCTTGAGGCATTGGAGGCGAGATATGGCGAAGCTCACCTGGAACACGTCTTTCGTGCGCAGCTTAAAGATCGCTTGCAGCGCATCAAAGAAAACCTGCAGCAGTGGGCTCTAGAGGTGGAGAAGCTGGTGCGAAAAGCATACCGGTCTGTACCTGCGCTCATTGAAGGGAACCTGGTGCAGACATTCATCGACGGCATTCGCGACCTTGAAGTCAGAGCTGATGTGAGGCTCGGGCACCACGAGACGCTTAAGGACGCCTTGGCCCATGCACTGGAGGTAGAAGCCGTGTGGCAGGATCACCGTTCCCATCGCGTCAGGGAGGTTGCAGCAGCTACAGTTCGCGACCGCAACAAAGGATACAGCCCTAGGTACTATGGCTGTGGGGAAAGGGGCCATCTCCGATTCAGCCGCCCTAAGCGATCCCTAGAAAGGGAAGGTGAACGATCTCAGAAGGGAAGTGCGGCTAACATCTCCGCCCAGCAGCAGGAATACGACTTTACTATCAGACATCGCAGCGGGAAATCTCATAGCAACGCAGATGCATTGTCAAGAAGACCTTGTTCTGAAGATTGCAAATATTGTAGTAGGCAAGAGAGTAAGGAAATGGTATCCGTGAGGATGCTCAGGACAGACCACCTCAGCAACGAGTGGAAGGACAGCCTACGACATACACAGCAGGAAGATCCGGACATCAAGCCGATTCTGGAATGGATGAAGGCCCGTGCTACCAAGCCTAAGTGGAGCGACGTCTCAGCGATGAGTTCGACCACTAGAAGCTATTGGGCCCGATGGGACAGCTTGCTGATTCAGGATGAAGTCCTGTGCCGTAAATAGGACAATGGTCGAGGAGACAGCTGTCGTTTGCAAATGGTTGTCCCTAAAGCTAAAGTGCCGAATGTTCTACAGCTGCACCATAATGGTTGTTCAGGAGTCCATCTGGGAGTTAAACGAACTCTACTGAAGATCCGAGAACAGTTTTACTGGGTCCATTATCGTGACGATGTCGAGGATTGGTGTCGTACATGTACAAGTTATGCGGCTGTGAGGGGACCTCAGACACGTAGTAGAGGAGCATCGAAATTGTACAATGTTGGTGCACCATGGGATAAGACAGCCCTTGACATTGCGGAGCCGTTACAGAAAGGCGCAAGAGGGACTCCTAAGATCGTCCATGTGGATCGCCTGACGCGTTATTATGGGGCCGATAATGCTCGGGACGAGCATATCTTAGGAGGGGGCAGTGTTGCGCGCCTAAGTTGACGTCATGTACCCGGCACTAGCGTCATCTATTGTCGGGAACGAGAGCGAGGAGGGCTTCCTAGAAAATGTCAATCTTGACTTTCGCCCAACAGCGCCATCTAGTATCGAATTAAAGAACTAAGCTTTCTGGAAGCCCCACACTCGAACTTTCTGCGCCTGGTCGGTTGGCGCGCGTATTTACTTGAATATTCTGGACGTTTCGGTGAAAAATGTGTATTTAAAGGCGATGCAAGACGCGGTCGGGGCAGTATTGAATTTGGCGAGACAAGCGAAGCTTCGGAGCGAAATAAAGAGAATCAGTGTGAATTATTAGTGTTTTAAGTTTTATTTGGTGTAAAGAAAATTAAAGTGTAAATTTTAGTAATTCAATCGGCAGCTTTTATTGTCACGAACCTCAAGCTCGTAACAATAAGCTACATTGACTTAGATCCCTTATTAGAACCACTGCCCAACGGAGTCCAATAAGGATTCTAAGGTTCAGAATCACAACTTATTTTTAACATTATAAAATAAAAATTATAAAGGTAAAGTTAAAAATATAGCAAAAAAATAAAGTAGAGCCTTTATAAGTTCTACAGCTGGGCACATGCCTCTTATTTCTCAAAGGCTCCGTCCAAGCCTGTTTATATAGTCAGATTCATAAACCCAAACATACTTCCTGTAAGTTTACTTGATAATTAACTTCCATTATGATTATTAGCAAGTAATAAATAATAATGGATAAAGAGCCGTGGTAGCTCAGGGGCTTAGTGTTCATTGTAAATTTACAGTATGCGAGCAATCCGGATTCGATCCCCGCCGGCACAAATGAAATTATTAATTGCAATTTTAAGTGCTGATATATCATGTGCTTGGCGGTGCAGGAAACAGAAATGCGAGGAGGCCTGTGTCCAGCTGTGGGACGTATATAGGCTGCAACTTGTGAATTGTTTGTAAAGAGATTACTTTGTAGCTTATTTTTATGAAAATAACGAATAAGCTAACAGTCCAGCTGATGGTATATGGCTTCTATTTATGGACACATGCAGCCTACTTCAAAGAAATAAGGCTACAGGTGCTTTGTCATTATGTAATTATACTGGTTCTATACTCTTCAGACAAGAGAGACAGAAATAGATAAAGGGGTGGTACCTCTTACCTATTTCCATTTCTTCAAATAGACAGACTCCTTGTCATAAAACGAATCCTACCACGTATTACATATTAATTAACATATAATTTGAATTGAAAATTTGGGACCAAAAAAAGCTCAAAGTTTTCACAGATGCTTCTAAGACAAATGAAGGTGTGGGGTCTGGGGCTTTCTCTGAAGACCTTAATATCCACATATGCACATCGCTGGGTACGCGTAACACAGTCTTCCAGGCTGAATGCATGGGTATCATCCAACCATAGCAATAGATGCTAGGAAGGTGAAAGACTTCTCCATCAGAATACTGACCGACAGTATGGCGATACTACAAGCTCTGAGTTGCAATGTAGCAAACTCGGAACTGATATATGAGTGCCATCAATGATTGAATGAGGTATGTAAGCACAACAATGTAACTCTGCAATGGATCAAGGGACACAGTGGATCTAGAGGCAACGATGCAGCAGATGAACTGGCCAGAAGGGGTTCGGCTCTGGCAACTATAGGGCCAGAACCTATAATACCAATCCCCTTTGGCTACATTAGTTCACTGGTACGTAGATATTCAATCAATCTTTGGAAAATTTAGTAGACTGTAGACAAGCTAGAGAGACCCTGGCTGAAATAAACAGTCGTCTAACCAAGTTTCTAATTAGACTGAACAAGCCACAGATCAGGATAGTAACAAGTGCTATCACAGGACATGGCTCTTTTAACAAATATTTGTTTACCATAGGTGTTACTGATAGCTCCAAGTGCAGAGCATGCATGGGAGAGGAAGAAACGGCGGCTCACGTGTTGCTGACATGTCCAGAAGTCGCTTCGTACTGGGCTAAACATCTCGGCACGCCTGGATCGCTCACCGAAGTTGCTTGCAACATCAAAGGACTGTCGAACTTCTTCGGGGAAATATCATGGCTTGAATAACCACATTATTCCTGCCCACACGCAAAATACGCGCTTAGACGTGGAATTGCGGAAAACAGCATGTCGTAAACTAACTAACATACAATTTTGGATTTTTGCAAAGTTGCTGACTACGAACTACACAATTTGTGTTCACTTTTGATTTTATATAAAATTCCCACAGTTTTCTTCTAAAATATCTAATTTATATTTATATTGATTAAAATAGTACATGGATTTTTCACATGACTTTTTAAGAAGCTGATAATCAGTTACCACTCTTTACTGATTATACGGCTCTTCATTTATCATTATCATGTCATACATACTCTAAATGATTGGTACAATATTAAGATTTACCCTTGCTTAGTAAGACTTTTTCACAACCAACTCCAACAGCTGCTCGAAGAATGGCACCCAAATTTCCTGGCACCCTAATATTATCACACAAGAATTGAAGTGGTAGTGGTTTTGATAACCTTTTAACATTTTCTGGAGTGGGCATTTCAAATACACCTGAAATTAAAGAAAATTAGAGGTATTTACGCTTATTCATAAATAGATTTGACAAAGGATATTTCTATTATTACATCATAAAAACAGCCTTAGGCCTTTCCAAGAAGTACTTACAGGCAACAATTTTTAGATCTTTCTTCTATGAAAATAAATTTTTAACTATGTGATGGATGTCAACCTTAATTGCTTGCTTTAATATGAGGAAGCTCAAGGTCGATCAGCGTGGTATGGCAACAGAGCTATGCCGGGAGCTTCTCTGGATGATAGGACTTCTTAATAAGGATTGATTTGATATATTTCTGCCACCAAGCAGCAGCAGTGTTCCAGTCTGAAGGAAATAGATAGCCAGAACAATTACAGGCGGTAAGGCATTCCATCTTAGTCCTCAGTGGTTACACCACATCTGTAACTTTCTTTGTATACAGTTAGTTGCAGGTGTCTATCAGCTGCAATAGTCACTGACCATCAGATGGTTTGTTGGATCGCTCATCACATCCATTTTTTATTTAAAAACAATTCCGCAGTAGAACTGGTATAAGCAACATAGCCAACAACGGATTAATTACCTGAAATGGGAATGGGCTCGAAAATTTACAACTGATGGGGAAGAATGGTTCTAGGATGACAGTCTCGTACCGGTAAGCAGGTGTCCGGTAGCGCCAACATTTATGCATGCATAAATTATACTTTGATGTACGGCGGCCCCTCATTAGATAGTGGAACATTTTATAGATTTACGTATTAATGTTCGTTCCAGTGATTATTGCTTATAATAAAATCAGAGAATTATTTCTGGGTAAAATCTATCCCCAAAATTGTAAAGGGAAAAAGTCCATCCATTATTAGAAGGGCAAAGTCAACATATTTTACAGCATATGCACCATTATCCCAACACTTCATTATTCAAGCTAAGCATTATAACTATGTATGTCCTGCTTCATAGTTATTTTAGAGAATCCTATTTGTTATTAACAAAAATATTCGCTTTTAATTTGATAAATACCAAGGACATTCGTGATAGTATGTGGCGGATCTGTCGTCGCGCCACAAGCGAAACACACCGAAGTCTAAATCGCGTTAAGTTCCGAATCATAAACAGTATATACAGAACAGCTCCGAACTATCACATGGAGCATTGGCCGCTCCCCGGGAACACCTTGCCTGGCGGGAGATCTCCCCTTTTCCTTCTACGGCCACAAGTACAACATAAGTATCTACCTTTTTTATGCTTAATTTATGATTTTAAGCAAAAATAATTGTAATATTGTTTTTTGCGTCAGAATTTGTTAGAATTTCTATTAAAAATAAATGGACAAAGAATTAACATGCACATTTTATGTTTTGTAGTTAAATGTTTTCAAATATTTAACCTTTTATATTATTGAAACAGCAGAATGCATTCATACTTATAAAAGCCATAAATTTATGGGTAAACTTGCTACTAAATGGAGTCCCCACAATAGAGGTGGGAAAGACACAAGTTTGCGAGTTTACTGCTAAAAAAACCCCTTCGTCGTATCTCCTCAGTTTCAAGGCACTCCCCTTTTTGCCTCAGCCAGTATCGGAATCCTCGGCGCGGCGTCGGCATAACGAGTGACGTGCAGTTTCGTTGTCACTTGGAAGAGAAGGCCAAACTGGCTTCTAAAAAGCTTGGCGTGCTCAGTAGAGCGGGACAGTATTTTATGCCGGCTCACCGCCTGCAATTTTACAAGGCGCAGGTTCGGCCGCACATCTCGGTTCCCCAGTGCCAGCTCCTTCCATTTGATCGCATCCAGCGCGGAGATGTTCGAATCGTCGGCGACCGAGTTCTTTCTGATCGGCTTGACTCACTGGCACTGCGAAGAGATGCCATGATATTTTATCATCGCAGCTACCACAGGGAGTGCTCTGAGGAAGTGTTCGGACTAATTCCAGCCGCACAATTTCACCATCGCACATCGCGACAAAACTCGCGATACCATCGTCTGGATGACTGGCGGTCCACCACCGTGTCATTTAAAAGAAGTTTTCTTTATAGCACAACTTCCTTGCGGAATCACTACCACCAGAGATTTTTGGGGACCGATACGACTTAGGGACCTTCACGAAAAGAGCCTACTCCTTTTTAAAAGGCCGGCAATGCATCTGCAATTGTGTTGCAGTATTTATTGCAGTGTTCATGGGCGGCGGTAATCACTTACCATCAGGTGAGCCGTATGCTTGTTTCCCTTCTTCCTATAAAAAAAAGTCCATTTCAATATTATGGTTTTAAAAGGTTCAATAAAATTTTTAGCGGTTTGGTGCCAAAATTTGCAATAAAGTACAATGAGCTATGGGATGATATGCTTATGAGATATAGTCAATTAAATTCAAATTTCGAAAAATATCTACTTCTATATATCATATTCCCCAATATTTGTATGGAATGAAGAAGCATGAAAATTATAAAAAGTAAGAAAAACAGCAGTCATTTATTTCATTATAACAGGTAATGTTTCTGGTATATCAACAATTATTCTCATTTATATCATTGGAGTGTTTATGGAATATCCGTTCAATTTACATACCCAAAATTCCAGGACAAGTTTCCACATCAGAAAAAAGTTCCATTTCTCTGTATGGAATTTTAAATATCTGCACTCCAGTTTGTGGTAAAAATGGCCTTAAATTATTCAGATCCCCTACTTGGCTAAATAATATGTAATGTAAATTACATTTTGCTTCCAAACCATCGACAATCAAACGCCAACCCTCAACAAGTATTTGGTTTGATCGCTTTCTTTCCTTTTTAGATTTTAATTTCACCAAAAGTGAGCTGAAAAATATAAAACAAAAAATTATTATATTACGCAAAATACTATCTTAAACACTATTCTGTAGTTAACCTTAATAATACTCAAATATCACGTCTGAATAAATTGAAGTCTAATATTTAAGGTTATTCAATATCCTACTTATGGCCTAAAATAAATAGTGATATATTCACCAATAACATCAGCAAAAATTGTTCATGATCCAACAATTGAAAAACTGGAATGCTTTATGGTTGTGGATTGAAGACCGTAACCAGAAAAAGAGTGCCTCCACCAGGTCTTTTAATCCATAAGAAGGCAAAGCGTCTTTACGCACATTTTAAAGCGCTTGATGGTGAAGGAGGATTTCAAGAATCAAAAGGCGATTCAATAAAATATAAGATGAAGCAACCACTAGCATTGTATAAAAATTGTTAGAGAAACCGCACCTGCAGATACAGCAAAAGCAGGTTTACTAGAGAAAGTACTTAATGCTTATAAGACAGCCCTGTTTTGAAAAAAAAAACCCAAACAAAACTTTTATTAAAAAATGTTTGCTTTGAGTGAAAATTGATTTCATCAACATTTTATGTACTTTTCCTCCATGGCCCTTAGAATAATTATATTCTATTATGAAAACTATCAAACATAACTGTGATTATGTCTTAACCTCGACAATAAAAATAATAATAATTTTTATTTCAATAAACTGTAGAATTAATTTAAATAATATCTTAATTTAAAATAATCTACACTAACAAGCACCTGAACTAAATAAACCTGTATCTCAGATATATGTGTTAAATATACACTATTAAATATTTTCTGAATTTAAGAAAATATACTAACATGCCAATTAATTAGGGTTGTTTCAGTATATTATCATTAATTTACTGATGACATTTAACTTAAAACAATCAGTAACTTTTCTGTATCTACGTATGACAAATTTTGTAACTATCTTCAAATTTCATTTTTATAATATTCCATTTTGAATGGCAATGACATGTACTAAATTTCATAGACTTAATCCTATACCTTTAAACGAGCAATTCTTGTATATATATATATAATCGGAATCTCGGAAACGGCTCTAACGATTTTCATAAAATTTTGTGTGCAGGGAGTTTCAGAGGCAATAAATCGATCTAGCTAGGATTTATTTTTAAAAAATGTCTTTTTGTCCGTGTTTTTAGGCAATGAAAAACTGCTACAATATCGTTAGAATAAGAAGGTAAATTTTGACAGTTTGTTAATGATTACAAATAGCTTAATTGGTATATTGGGCGGTCACAAAATCGTAATATCATGGTTCGAGCCCAGAGCGACCGACCGATTTTTTTTTAATTTTTTTTTCAAGTTCCTTTCTTTTTTTGAGAAAATCTATTTTTTCGAGCCCTTTTTTAGTATTTTTTAAAAACACGAAAATTTAAATTAAACTAATTGCACTCATGATTTTTTATTCAAATAACCAGTTCAGTTTTTTCTATTATGTCACTAAGATCAAAAAATATCATTCATATTTCATCATTATGTAATTTGTATCTAAATATAATTTCCAAAACACACGAATTTAAAAAAAACCGAGCGAAAAATCCCGAACAAAGCTCGGTCAACCGGGTACTTATAAAGAAAAGGGCCAAGGAATGTAAAAAATCTATGCATCAAAGAATACCTTATTCTAATGTTAGTTTTATCTTTGCATATTTTATCAGTGACTTCTATTGTGTAGGGCAATTTTAATTGCTGTTTTAGTAACATAATCATAATGATTAACTGGCGTTCTGAGAGGACATCATAGGATTTATTATATTTAAGAGATGGGACAGGAATGGGATAGTAAGGAATGTTGCAACGTTTAATACAGCCCTTTGAGCATGTCCCAGTTGTAGCAGTGTAGTTTCAGCTGCTCCTTTCTATGAGATTATACAGTAGGTGATGATTGATTGACATAATGCAAAATATACTTGCTTTATTTACTACCGTTATATCAGCAAAAGAATGAATCTCTTTAAAAACAAACATTAGTTTACAGACTCTATTGCACAAGAGGTTTATGTGGTTTTTATATGTAAACATAGAATATATAATTACTCCAAGGTTTTAATAGTTTTGTATACAAAGTAACTGGGCAGTTACATTTAGACTCTGCAACTGAGAAACATTGATGAGCATAAATTTCTAGAATGGTTATATGCTGGGTTGAGCTGTGCATAGAAAAATGAATATATTTGGTTTTGTCCATATTCAGTGTTAGTGTGTTTTGTTGGAGTCATTTATAAACCCTACGAAAACTTTGCTGTGCACATAAATAAACCTTGTCCTGTATTTGCAGAAAAAAGGAGCCTCTGCGTAAGATATTATTTTACCTAAGTTCGAGATTGCAAAGGATTATATAAATCAAAAATAGGGTTAACCCTAAAACACTTCCTTAAGGCTTAAATTTTAAAATTAGTATTTTCTTTTTTAAAGCTAACAATGTTTTTGATTTTTATGCATTAATCTTTGTAAGACCTCTGTAAGATTAGAAACTGTATCAAAAGCTTTTGATAGGTCAAGAAAAATGCCAATTAATTGGTTGCTTTTAGTAATTCTTGAAAGACGTAATCAAGATGACAGTAGACATAAGATTATTACATATATATGTACTATGTAAGAATTTTAATTTCTTCATATATGTTCACTTTATTTGTAAAAAGAAGATGTTTCTCACATGCCACTGTACGTACCACTGCTGACCACAGGCCTCCTCTCCTTTCTGAGGTTTTGCAGCAAGAAATGTCTGCCGCGCTGGTCAAATGTGTTGGCATCACATTCTTCAAAATACTTTTTTTCTTATTTCTCAGACATACAGGTTTCCTCACATTGTTTTCCTTCACCACTGAACATGTGGTAAATCAGTATATAAAATTGCAATTATCAATTTCATTGGTGCCGGCAGGGATCGAACCCAGGTGGCCCATTTACTGAGAAATTTGCAGTGTGTGCTTAGTCACTTAGTCACTGAGCTACCATGGCTCTTGAAATAGATATGTTTACAAGTGTGTATTAATAAAAAACAAAAACATAATTAATAAAAAAGTGCTCTTTTCTCCAAAACTATGGGATTCCACCTTTGTATGTGGCATTCACCTAAAACTTACCATAATTATCAAAAACAATTTTGCCACACTTACCTTATCTTAGTGTCTTTGTCTTTCAGTTTGTCATATAGGATTTCATTATTATCATCAAAAACTTTCTTCTGACTAAGGTAAAATAATCTTTTCTTCATTAATGTTTCTTTTTTATCTCTTACTTCTTTGAATCTATTTTTTGTTGTTAATGACACATTCGCAATTGATTTCAAATTTTCCGAATTTGTTACATCGCTATCAGATTTATTTTTAAAATCTAAATCTATAACATTTTCTCTTTTCAAATTAGCGCTAGAATCAGACTCGATAGGTAATAATATTTTAGCTGGTTTTCTATGCATCCATCTTCCATAAAATCGAACTAGACGAAGTGCTACATATTTCCGTGAAAAAGAATACAATAATGAGCTACATAAGTTATTCGCCATGAGAAATTTATTGTTTATGTCGCTTACACAAAGTTCTTATAAATTACTGTCAAGGACAACAACATAGATAAATAAATATGTAGAAAGCTAGACTCCAAACTACAATACTAAATAGGGAATTTCAGTATTTCACAATTTCATTATTTCACATTGAGCTATTATGTACTACGTACTAGAGGCGACAGCGACACTGCCTGCATTCAGTTTCACAATTTCACTATTTCACATTGTGCTATTATGTACTACGTACTAGAGGCGACAGCGACACTGCATTCAGCTACTCTGTTCCACTCAACTGCGGTGCATACACCGCACTTTAATAACCGTGCGTTTGCACTGACGCGATTTTCACAAAAAAACATGTTTTAAACACTGTTTTCTGTCAATGTATCAAAAAGCGTTTGCATAGCCAAGGAACATGTTTTAGTGAAATGTGTTTGACAGTTTAATGTACATTACATATTATAACTATCTATGGTATGTTCCGAAATACAACGCAGTGTACTGTCCAATGCAAATGACGTCATGAATCGTCGCTATACTGGTGATTCGTTCCAAAACATTGGACAGTATATGACGTCATACTTTTGCGATATTTGGAAAAGTGTTGGCGATTATTTTGTCATTTTGTGCTCCTAAAATCATTATATCCTCCTCATCGATATACTATCAATTATTCTATAATTTTTTGTATTTGAATAAATAGAAACAAATTCTGGCATGCTTCATTCGGCAAACACACAATTAAAAATTGTTTTATTATGGCCGGATATCCGACACAATATGGCGGCGGCACGCTAGTACAATAAAGTGTCAAACTGTCAAATGATGACGTCATTTGCATTGGACAGTGCACTGCGTTGTATTTCGGAACATACCCTATATATCTGAAGAAACAAAATGTTTGAAAACAAATTTTTAGAAATATTGTTATGTTCAAATAAATAAGTTTGACGTTTTGTATCAGAGAATTTTTAACAATAATGGGTTCAAGTGATGTAGAGGTGAATAATGGATTCAAGTGATGAGTGTACTGTACATTTACAACAAAAGAGAAAGAAATCAAGGTTCTGGACGGGCGTGCAATATGTTTGACAGTGATTCGCAGTTGAATACAAGATAGAGACTAAAAACTGTGCTGCATGACGAATAAAGAAAATTAAAGAAAGTGATACATGAGAAAATTCTACCACTTGCGTAATCACATTAAAACATTAAAAGCCAAAATTGTATTAAGTGTTTAGCTAATGAAAATACAGTAAGAAAATTATCCAAGAAAAATAACATCAACATTTGCGCTGTAATTACAAGTTCAAATAGGAAATTGAAAGAAAAAGCTACATGACATATGAAAATCAAAGCCATGTGGCTTTATAAAAGGTCACCCACCTGTTACAGGCTACTCAGGCTCTATTAAAGGGTTAACTGAGTACTCTTTGCTGTTGGAGTCAATCAACCAGTTTTTAAGGCCTGGCAGATTTTTTAAATACTATAATACCATCAGACAATCAATTTATATTGATATTTGATGAAATGTCTTTAAAAAAATGTGGTGTATAAACCAAAAGAAGAATTGATTGAAGTGTATTAGGATCATAGTACACAAGGAACATCTTCAGTCATTGCATCATATGCATTAGTATTTATGATTGTTAGTACTAGGAAGACTGAAACAGCCCATTGCCCACTATTTCTCCAATGCATTTTTAACTGCAAATCAACTTACTGTACTAATAAAAGAGGTAATTATTAGTACTTTGTATGATGTTTCATTTTATTTCAACAGTTGAAAAAAGTAAAGTTGATTATAAAAGCTCAACGGTTGTAAAACATATTCAATTTTTGATTTCAGGTCTTGAATCAGTCATAGCTGCCATAACGTCCAGGCTCTCAGGCTGGGATGAATATATCTGCAACAGTGTGTGACATGGACGGAGTAAATTTACAAGTTCTCTCTATCTTGGGTGCAAATGTGCAACAACTATATTTTGCATTCCATAACAAAGAGATAGTGACCCTTTGATATGCCATATTTATTACATAAGGGATCTTGCAATGGGGTTAATGCATTTCACATTGAAATAACTTTGTTTTGCAGAAGAGAGCCATGAGAGCACTTTACAACCTAAGTCCAAAGGAGTCTTTTCAAGAAAGTTTTTTAGAAGTAAATATATTAACTATAGCGTTTTAGTAATTTTACGAAAATTTAATGTATGTTTTTTATTAATTTTTGTTTTTTTTTTTGTTTTTGTTAATTTAATGTACACAAAAACAACAATAGTTTTTATTAAAAATAGTAATGTGTATTTCTGTAAATACTAGGAACAAGTACAAGCTAGTTACATCAGTTATTCCACTTCAAAGAATAAGTTTTCCTTCGTGGGGCAAAGTATATGCTTTTATAACAAGTCATAAAATATACAGCCTATCAAAAACTGAAAATTTTTAACTAAGCAAAGTTGTTCAAAAAAAGGTTATTACAATAAAATATACGATTGATAAACCCCTGGGAATGGGGTGATTAGTGTTGTTTCTAAATGTTTTAATACTTAATTGTAAAACAATATATTCTAAATAACATTTTGTTTAAATGGCCACCTTGGACTTCTTGCTTGTTTTCTACATAGGACAGAGGCTTTTCCCAAACGAATAAAAGCATTAATTACTTTATGAGTTTTGTAATCAAGTATTCTTTAATAAGTTTTGTAGTTTTGAATAAAATTTATTCTTTTTACGTCGTAACTGCAAGCATATAATATAGACAAAATTTTAAGGTTAATTTTAAATCAGGGAAATAAATAGACAACCAATTATTATCAAAATTAAATTATTATTTCCTGGTTTTACTCTGGTCTTGTGTACATGAGCTTATTTATTATTTAACTTGTTTTTGATTCAAATATTGCTATCTTGGGTATTGTAGACACGCTAGGGTTTTTAATTGTGCATGTTATTATCAATACATTCATAATTGTAAATCTTCTAAATTATTTTATCCTTTTTTACATAGGTAATTGAAATATTGTAATCAGTATTGATTTTTATTTTCCTTTTTTTAACTCATCTAATGACTTAATAGACAGAACTAATTTTGCTAAAGAAATTTTGTCTCCCTTTAGTAGTGTTCTAGAATCATATACTAGTCGCCGCGGCGATGTCGGATGCATGGCTGTCACATTCCGTCTGGACTGTAATACTAAGCCTGCAAGACCCAACATTGTAGGCTTAGTATAACAATCTTTATAACACCCTTTGGGTTCAGACTAATAAAATGATGAATATTGTTGTCATTATATACATTTTATATTATATTTTTCAGAGTAATCAAATTCGAAACTTAAGCTTAAATTCATAAATAATGATACAATGTTATTGCAGTTTTTGAAAATATCGGTAAATAAAGCTTTTTCTTTTATTTGCAACTATCCCAAATTGAATCCGATTTATGGGCAACAACGTTTTTGCCTACTGATCGACTAACATGTTTCAAATATAAGCAAGCTCTAACTAAGTTTTAATGTCTATCTTACGAGGAAACTTTAAAATTATTAAATATAGATAGTTAAAAATGCTAACTGTTAAGCAAAATAACAACACACACTCACTACTTCTTTCACACACACACACACACACACTCACACTCGTATACACACACTACACACTGGCATCTACGTATTAATTTTACACTTACTTCTAAACTTGTAATATTGGTTTGTGATTAACAAATCTCCAATATTAAATGAACATTTTGCATATTATATTTAATTGTTTTAAGAAAATGAAATATTAACTGAGTCACTAAGTTTCAATTATTTTTATGTGAAATATAGAATAAGTTCTTGTAAACATTTACTATAACATTTGAATATTAATATAAGTGTGTGACACATTTATAGAATATCGCCCCTGCCTTACTCTTGTACCATACAACTAAACATTTAGCTATAGTAGTATTGAGCCATTTGTCGGATTAGAACTTTTATTCATTTCTTGATTGTGGTAAAATTGTTTTTATGTTTTTGTTTTTCTATTTGGTATGTATTTAATGGGGAGGGCTTAGCAGCTGTAACACAGGTCTGTGACCTAGCACGGTTGCTAAAGATACCTTAATATACTATTGAGTTAGATTTACGTCTTATCAATGTAATTTTATAAGTTTATGTTTTTATGTAAAGTATGTTTGGATTCAATAAATATTATTATTAATATGTGGGGTATCTATATAGTTTTCTCATCTGGATGGGTTCTATATATATAAATGAAAATGAAAAGATAAATATACATAAATATCAGTAAAATAAAATAAATAAAATAATACGGTCATTTTCGAGCACGACTTCCGGTAAGTACTTATAATAAGGCAGTTTCCGATCTACGAGACCGTATTTCAGAGAGAGCTACTGGTGTAGAATTCTGGCTACTAGGTTGTGTCTGTGTAAGTACTTTGACATGCCTAAGTGACTCACCGGGATGGCGACAAGCTTATTATTAACGAATGTTTGCGTGTGCAGTAAAATCACTTACAATGCATTACTGCGCATTTTGAATTTAAGAGATAAAAAGGAGATACAGTTTGAGATTTTTTAAAATTGATTTGTCTTTAACGGCCTATATTAGTTATCTTGAACCTTCTCTGCAAATTTGACCGGTTATCACAAAATAACCCTGTATATCTCCAAGGAAACTGATTATTAGAACCTAAACTATGGTAAGCTTTGTAAAATTTTGAGAGAAAGATGGTACGTGCTTTCATATTTCTTTCTCATATATATAATTAGTAGAACATGTGGAACAAAAATTTCTTGTCACTTAAAACACATTATGAAGATGGCAGTGACAAACTAAATTATTTGATAAACAGTTTTCTACGTTTCTTTTTTTAAGTTATGTATTTTAATTGAATAAATAATTAGAAATTTGTATTGTATTTTATTATGTTCTTTTATATCGAGCTCTGGGACAGGAAACCTAAAAAAAATACCCCAAAAAAAAAAAAGATTTAATTTTTCCGCCACACGAGAGAATTGCAGATAATCTGATTAATGATAAAGATGGAATTTTTGGAGATATATACAACATTTAATAGTTTCACTCAATAGTGTCTCTCAATGGACAGGTCTTAAGATGAACATGGACTAAACAAATATCATGTATAATGTCCGTGTCACACCTATGCCGGTAGTTGTTGGGACCACTAAGCTCGAAGTTGTTGACGAGTACGTTTACCTTCCAACTTCGACCGAGAGGTCAATCGACGAATTCAACTCGGCTGGGCAGCATTCGTGAAATTACGAAGCATCTTCTCGTCAGGTATACCTCAATACCTGAAAACTAAATTGTACAACCAGTGCGTGTTGCCAGTGATGACCTACGGAACCGAGACGTGGTCCTTCACTGCTGGCCGTATGAGGACGCTCAAAGTCGTTCAGCGAGATAAACTCTGCGTGATAAACTTAGAAATGAGAATATCCTCAGTAGAACCAGAGTGACCGACATAGCCCAACGGATTAGTAAGCTGAAGTGGCAATGGGCCGGCCATGTAGCTCGTAGAACCGTCAACCGTTGGGGAAAAAAGGTTCTCGAGTGGCAGACTCGTACCTGTAGGCGAAGTGTAGGGCGGCCCCCCACTAGATGGAGTGACGACCTGGTAAGACATGCAGGTACTCGATGGATGCAGGTGGCTCAGGAGTCCTGAGTCAGGACCGTGCTTTGTGGCATACCTTGGAGGAGGCCTATATTCAGCAGTGGACTTGTGAAGGGCTGTAATGATGATGATGATGATGATACAACATATATATTTTGAATAAAGTTATCATTCGTGTCCGCTAGGGTTGATAATGTTTTGTGATGTTTTGCAACTAAATTGGATAACAGAAAAACACGATTTAAAACAAATCGCGAAATATAAAAAAACAACAGTGCGAACGCTAACGTTGACAAATCTATAGATAAACAAGTAGAATGTTTAAGTTGTATTCAATGCGAACACAGCTAAAAACAAATCTTGATATCTGTTGAAAATTTTACACAGTTTTTGTGAGTGCGAACGCCACCATCAACAAAACATGTTGTGTGATTTATTTCATGCGATTTGTTTCAAAACATTACGTGTTGGATGTTTCTCAGTGCAAACGTACTGTTACTTTACTCTATGAATCAGTCACTCGCTAGGCGTTTATGGAGTTGTCACGTGTTGTGTTGATTTAAAAAATCTCTTGATAGCTTGATACAAATATGCCGTCGTGTGTACTTAGATATTGCACAAATAATTCAAGAAATATCAGTAAAAACCAAGGAATTACTTTTCATCGGTTAATAAGATACTTAATCAATAAAAAAAGTACTATGTATTAATAATAAAACAAATTATTCCTAAGACGCCATCTCGTGTCAGGGAATATAGATTATGAAATTAATATGTTCAGATGCGACATTTCTGTGGTTACTTAAGTATAGGACGAATATTTTATTATACACATTTTTTGTAGAAACATATATAAGTTATTATAATTTGGCAAAATTTTTCATGTATAAATCTGCTTATTATTATTTTATTTTATTTTTAGGTTTCCACATCAAAGTCAAAGTGGTATAAATTCGTCCATTTTTAATTCTCGCGTGCCCAGTATTTATGACCACTTTTATTCTAATTTAAATAAATATATTTGTAATTTAAATGTTATGTTAATAATTTCCCTTAAACATACATTTAGTATGTTTTTATATTTGACTAATATTTTAAAAGGCATCTAACCTTTTAAAATATTCAGATAAATATATCATTAAAATGTAATTGTGGTATAATATCATGTAATATTATATTAAATAAGCAAATATAATATACGAAATAAATGACAAAATTTAAATATTGTTCTCGATATAATTTACCTATTTAACAATACAATCCACTATTACCTACGGGTCGTTCTACCTATGTTTATTCTATGATAAAAAAAAGCGTTCCGCGCGAACACAGAGTAGCGCACATTTTTTGTTTGAGATAGCTATTCTAGTACGCAAGTACATAATATTCAATGGTATTTCAGTAGGTAGGTATATTAGAAAATACTCTGTCTGTGACGTAGACAGAGAATTCTCTGTCTACAGTCTGTGACATGGAATGAGAGTGAGACAACTTGTTTTTTAGTAAGACAAATGCAAAGCAGTGTGAACATATTTAAAATACAGATCCTGCCTTACTTTTTTTTTTTTACTTGCCAAAACCTGCCAAAGTCTTTAGTGAAAAATCCCCAAATACTGCCAACTTTATTTACCATTGTATTAAACTAAGAAAAGAAAAATACATATTTAAAATAGTATATTTTAGTAAATTAAACATTGTAGTTAGCATCATGTTCTTCTTTTTTATTTCAACTTTATACATGGATTTATTCATTCGATTCATCATATCTTTCGTTGGTTTGAATGCAATGCAATCGCTGTGCTTACCAATGCCTTGTTTAACGAACAAGATAGACGCAACATGATGTTTATGAATCTGTTTGATGTTTTTGTCTTAATAAAAATTTTTTTGAGAGAATATTCTTTCGCATGCAGCGTTGGCCATTGGTAAGCATAGCAGTCCCTCTCCCTTTGCGAAATTTGCACTACATACATGTTTTAAATGTTTGTTCAATGACTGATTGAAATTGAAATATTAAGCATAAACTTGTGTTTATAAATACTTGTTTTAAGATTATCAACTTTACATACAAACGTTTAAACTTGTTTATTGAATGTGATACAAACATAATACGAGAAGTAAGGGGAAATCCCCCACATGCTGGCGAAGTATCTAGGGCTACCATTTTATGCATTTTGAGTTGCCATAATGAAATATATTTTTAATACCCCAATACTGCCGGGTTATTTTAACGTCAATCGATCATGCCAAAGGCTAAAATAAGTGGCCAATCCTGCCAAAATGGTAGGAACCTGCCACATATTGTCACACTGATGCAAAGACTTTTTTAAATCATATTCTTTTATTTCATGCGCATCAGTGCTACGAGATAAAAATTGCAAACTGTCCTTATATATATATATATATATATATATATATATATATATATATATATATATATATATGATTTCGTATTGTACGATTTCTTGAAGACAAATATAGTATTTTATGCACCATTAAACAACAAAAACTTTCAAAAGAAATGTGACACTAACTGAACTTGACTTAACAATGAGTGTACTAATCATTTTAATATAAGTTATACAAAAGTAATACCACTGCCAGAAAAACTTATTCATATTGCTGGATGATATGACTTAAAAAGCATTGAAATGTTTGGTGATATCCCAAACAGCGGCGGCTGGTGTTGCTGATCAAGTCTACCTAAATGAGGATCAGTAAAGTTGTAGAAAATTCAATAAAACTAGTATCCACGTAATTCTTTATAACATAAGAATTATATATCTTTTTGAATTAGCCAAATCGGACCATTACTTACGAAGATATTAAGTAATAAACATAGGCCGTTCCTGTCGCTAAAAGTCAATGCACGGAGGTCCGCGTGACGTCACTGTGACGGAACCGAACGCATCATAGTAGTTCATACATGTATTCTGTGGTAGTTCACGATTCGACGGAGCGCGGAGACGCGGTTGGGCACTATATTTGGCAATTTATTTAAATAAAGTGTTGTTACAGTGTAATTTTGTGATTGTTTAAGTATTAAAGATACATAATATGAGTGCTAATAAAGTAGAAGCTGGTTTTGTGCAAGCTCAATCAGATAACCTTCCAAAAGTGGATTCTTTCATGGTATTTGATTATCTAAGTAATCATTCTAAGTTCACCAGCGCTGAAGTCCGTGGATGGAAACTACAAAGGTAAGGGTGCTGCTTATTTATCTACGTTCGTAGGTACTTATTAGTAATCTTTAGGAATAAGCTGTATAGGTAAATAAATGAAAGAATGAATGTTGTAAAGTATAGTTACGGGCAAAGATGTATAAACATCTTAGGTTACAGGGACGTATTCATAACTTATGAATAGTGTTTATAGTATCTTGATAAAAGGAATGTTGTTTTCGTTCATTCATATGTAGATCATTTTGCAGATGATTTTACTACTTATCTTATACTTATAAAGATAAGTATAAAATACTTACTTGCACTTTATTTATTGCATGGTTCCCTACACTTGCTGATCTATGACAGAAACCTTAATATTGATTGTAAATGGCAGATTTTTTTCCATCTTGCTCATTGTTACAAATTTTTCGTTCAGTATATATTTAAGTAGGATGACTTGTTTTGTATAAAAAATATATAATACTAGCGAACGCCCGTGACTTCGCCCGCATAGACTACTATTTATTTATCGTAGAGGAACCGTGTATTTTTCCGAGATAAAGCACTTTTTATACCAGAAAAAATGCACGGTTCCTGTAAAATTTCATCCATATCTGTTCAGCAGTTTTTGCTTGAAAGAGGAACAAAGATACATTCATCCTCACAAACTTTCACATTTATAATATTAGTCAGAAGTAAAATATAGTAGTAGGATAGAATTTTGTTATTTGTATATATTTTTTAATTCGTTTTATTTATTTATTACAGATCGGCACGTGAAACCTTTGGAGATGATGCTGTAGGATTTGTCAAGTCAAAGTCCAGAGGTCGGGACGTGTTTGTACGGTAAAAGCAAAAATAACGCCTGAATATAGAATAAAAAGTAAAGCGTATAGCTGTACATTTACATGTGATGAAAAAGAGGAAACGGTTTTGAACGTGGACTGTCATGACTGTGCTGCTCAAAATGGAGGTTGCAAACATAGCGTAGCGTTTTTGATGTGGCTTCATAGACGCAGCGAGGAGCCATCTCCTACTGAAAAAAAATGTTACTGGGCCAAACCAAAGCTGGCTACCATAGGTACTAAATTTATAAAAGCTAAAGATATGGGTCCCAGTTCAGTTACTACTGAAGATAAAAATACTGATAACACCAATTCAGATAAGTTTTTCCTAGCAGTTGTGCAAAGCCTAAAGGAACATTCTATTAAAAATCAGTTATCAGTATACGTAACAAAGAATGAGTATAAAAAATTGTCTTTGCATAACCTCATTCATCAATACAAAAATGAAGGCAATAATATAAATAGTGTAGATGATTTTATTGATTATTGCTCTACTAAAATCACCATAGAAAAATGTCACAAAGCAGAGGAAGCAACAGTTTGTCAAGCTAGTTCACCGTTATGGCATGAGTTAAGGTATTGTAGAATAATCGCGTCTAAAGTTCACGAAGCTGCACGTTGCAAGACTCCTGATGGTGCTTTGATTGAACAAATATTTGGTGCCTCTGTACCCGAGACTCTGTCTATGAAAAGAGGCTAACGATTGGAATCCAATGTCAGAGCAGAAGTAGCCAAAACAAGGAAAATAGTTATTGAAAATTGTGGTTTTTTTTTTTAAACCTGATTGGCCTCATTTAGGTGCTTCTCCAGATGGATTGACAAGTGAATACGTAGTAGAAATAAAATGTCCCTCGACAAAGAAAGGAAAGGAAAGTTTTGTAAAGAATAGTGTTATCGGCAGCAAATGGAAAGCTCAAATTCAGCTACAAATGTTTTTATGCAATAAAGTCAAGGGATTGTTTTGTGTAGCTAATGAAAATTTTGAAAGCAATAAAAAAAGTAGAAATATTTGAAGAATATTATGATGAAAACTATTGTACTGATCTTTTAGAGAAGTCCACGCATTTTTGGAAAACATCAGTGTTTCCAAAACTAGTTGAGACTTAAAATTATTCTTTTATTAATAATATGACATGTGCTTTTGATGTTGCGAGGTTGTCGAAATAAAACTATAAAAGAAACGAAAGCATTTTTTTTACACTTTACTACTAAATAGACAATTCTGTAAATTAACTAAACCACAGGCTATTGTTACAATATTATCTAAAAAATGTACGTATGAAATATCGACACATGCGTGAGGTCCGATCATTTTAAAGTCTCTCAACTTCCCTATGCTTCTTTCAACGTGAACCCTTATAGCAGCGATTCTCTTTGTTTGCAAGACTTCCTCTGCTGTAAGTTTTGAGTTGGAACTCACACTAGGCGGCCTCAGGAGTGTACAACCACGTTGTTCCAGTAAATGGGAAATATTTTTGAAACCCCTATCAGCTAACACAATACTTCCTTGTGCCAATTTGTCAAGAAATCCGCTGTCTTCAAATATTGTTGAGTCTGGAGTCCTCCCTCCATATCCCTCAGAGATAAAGTTTATCAAACCGTCAGGTGTAATTGAAATCAAGTACTTAATGGTATTGCAGCTTTTATATTGAGACCATGTAGCCGCTTGGTGCGAAGCGTTAGGATTTGAATTTCAAAACAATCGATTATTGAAATCGCTTTAGAATAGCGCTTCCTAAAAGCTATCGGCAAGTTTTCTCTGACATCATCTGCTGATGGCCAGATAATAAGTCGATTCAGGCACAGTGCAATTTTTGGGAGAGTTTTATTAAAATATTTAGTCACAGAACTCTCAGAGAGGCCAAAATGTATTGCAAGCATTGAATTTGGGTCATGCCATCGGATTTTTCGTAAAGTCACTAGGAATTCAATAGATGATATTTCCGTGAAGTTTTCTAAATGTTTAATACAAAAATATGAATGGGCAGGAATGCCTATCAGTAATTTTGGATCTCGAGATATAGACATTAGAGCGCCCTTTTGCATATGCTCATGGAAGAAATTTTTGTGCATTGTTTTTGTTATTTCTAAATCATTCGACTCGTTATCACTAGCACTAACACCAAAAGAACGAGTATTTTCACTTGAGTTTGAGTTGCTGATCGTGAAGCTAACGTTTGGATCAAGATTTTTAGGGATTACTTTTTTTTAACTATTGGTTGTTTCCATTTCATTGGCGTATTATTCGATTTAGTTTTCATTTTTGGTTTCATATTAACCTGCACTGCTTGTGTTTTTGACCCCTTACATTGTTTTTTGATAATACGTCTATTTCTACAGGTATGTAAAGGGGATCACTGTTTTGGATGTTATTTGAGTCTTGATTCTCACACTCTACTACTTCAATGGAATGCAACAGCAGGTCTTCGTGTCCAATATCTTTACTTAAAACTCTTTCAAAATATTCTATGTCTTGTCGTTTTTTAAAACCGGGTCTGTCAATTTTCTTTTTTTGAGGCTTTTGGCATTCAAACTTATGAGGCAAAACTCCCTTCTTCAGTTTAAGCTTTCCTCCAACTAACTTAAACTTTACGTAATTTTCCATATCTTCTTCTAACTGAAATATAAAAATGTATATAAGTATTAATTTATTTGCCTCTATCAATAAGGCATAGCTGAGGCAGATACATAAATTCACCGCTGTTATGTAAATGGTTAAAGAATATTATCATTCACTCTTTGCTTTTTACCCGAGTACGTCTCTAGGTCATTGTTTTGACCTTTTAATACGATATACGATGCTTTTACACATAAGCAGCTGACCCGATTTTAATGACTTTTAGTATAGAGATAACTGAGATCTTAAAATGGATATAGGCTACTTTTTATCGCAAAAATAAAACTTTAAGGGGATGAAATAGAGGTGTGATAAAAACTTTCTGTGACAAACTGAATTCAACGCGGGCGAAACCGCAGGCAAAAGCTAGTAATACATAGAAATGGGAACGGGCGAATATATAGGTTTACGTTATTAGATACGTTAGTACCTACGTAGGTTTATCAACAAAACTTAGAAAAAGTAAATAGGTATGTTTTTATTAATACAGCAGGCTTAAAATAAGAGAATACACAGGTACACTACACGTAACATAAGGTACCAACGTATTTCCATATCAACTAAATAATAGGTATAATAGATATGTAGGTACGTACATCGAAGTGATCTTCACAACAATGTCTTGTAGCCTGGGCAGAGGGTGTAGTTTTATCATCACTTTTTGCAATGGAATACCATTTCTTACGAAGTTTTGGGTCTTTCGGTACGTTAAAAAATAGTTTTTCTGGTGTTTTAATAGAAGTGTTTGTACATTTCGGCACTATACAATATTTATACATAGTTAAAAAGGTGAATTAGACACAAATCGGACACTTAACTTCTTTCAAAGTTACAATTAACCAAACAAAACACTGCGCGCCTTATCGCTGCCAACGGCTAACTGGCGAAGACCGTCATAGTGACGTCACAGGTACCGCGCCGGACCGTCAGTGAACTTCGCTAGTAATTTGGCCATAACTTCGTCATACTTTGTCGTAGAACAAAAATTTTTGCACTGTATGTTAAGGATTTCTTAGATCTATAAATCTCAACTAAAACGTTACGGATCCTCATTCAACCATTATTTGCTTACGTATTATTGTAAAATACCGTAGAATATGACACGATAATAGATCATTACCGTAGACCGTGTTTTTGGTAAGGAATAGCGTGTGCTTACGGCAGTTTTCGTATATTTCTATATTCTATAGTGTGTTATCAGAATCAGTATCCAAGCGTATAGAAATAATTTTTTTTTTCAAAAAAACACATTTAAAAAATTTATTTGCAAATTGTATGTGGTTTTATTTCCTCTAACTTACACGAGTATCGGTAATGTGGGGTCATTGACAATCCTCCTCCTCGACCAATGCAGGGATAATAAAACCACATACCATTACCATTTGCAAATTAATTTTTTTTTCATTAAAATTAATTTTTTAAATGTGTTTTTAAAAAAAACATTATTTCTATATGCTCGGATGCCGATTCTGATAACGTAGGGAACCACAGGGTTTTTGTTACATATTGTATATATATATTTATATATATATATATATATATATATATATATATATATATATATATATATATATATCAAGTATATGGCCCTCAAGAGTTGATTTTGTTAGCTATTGAACTATTTTGGTTGACGTTTCTGTCCACCCAGGAGAAGAGGCAAGCGCGACGCCCATGGAGGTTAGAGAATAGGAGAACGATCGCCACGCACTAAGACATACCCCACATGTCCCTGAAACTTTGTAGAATTTACAGCCGCGCTGTCGTCGGTAAGTACCGAGTATCGGCGAAGTAATTTTTTAATTATTGACGAAAAGAAACATTAAAAAATAGTGAAATTATATTAAATAATAATAATAAATCAATTGGTTACGCGTAAATGATTTATGTATTTTAATTTTGTTCGAGGGTACATTTGCCAAGTGTTTATCCTTTCTTTGACCTCATGTCCCTTCCGTACACACTGATAGGGGGGGAGGGGTCTAGAAGGTGACGCGATTCTTTCGACCAATGAGACGCGCGCTCGACCGAGTTGCATTGGTGGGAAAGCCGAGGCAATAAAGGCTCGCGCGCTGCCCTCGAGCGGCCTCTTGCCTTCGCGCCGCTAGTCTGAACCGCACCAACTGGAGCAGTCGCGCCCCAGAAGTAACCGCTTCACATAGTGAGAGCTGAGCTGAGATATCGTCGCGCACCGCTCTCTTCCTTCGTACCGCTAGCCTGGATCGCATCTCTGGGGCGCCCCAGAAGAAACCACCTCACGTTGCATCACCGCAACGGAAGCCTCGTCCGCCGTATAAGAATCACACCCCGGTAAGTGTGTTTCCTGTAATTTTGCTCCTACCTCCTACTTGAGCATTTTATTTGTTAGTTAACCCGCCCCATTTTGTTTCTCCTAATGTACTCAAGTAGAATTCCATCCTAACCTTGGCAAGCAATAGATTTGGAAGAGCGAGTGCATTGTCCAAGGTTTCCGCGTGCGACGTCCGCCATCTTGTTGAGGTATAAGAAGCCAACCGCATATACAGTCCACCTAGTATAACATCTCGCACAATAAGTCAAGGCTCGACCTGGGAATCGAACTCGGGAACCCCTAGCCTGCCGCCCAACCATTTTCTAGTCATTCGAGCGGATTTGGAACTGGTGTCCTGTAGCCTCATCCAGTCTAACTGCTGAACTAATTCCTTTGACAATACACTCTAATTTAATATTGGATAGATTTTATGTCGTTTTTGTTTTAGTTTAAATTTAAATTTTGGTTAGTTTATTCACATAGGTAAATAGATACTTATTTATTTAAATAGTTAGCCCCGCTTAGTTTTATTTACCTTACCCGCTATTTGTAACATTATACGAGTTCTTAATTCCTACCTAGTCGGCGCGTGTGTTATCTCGTTTGTTTGCAAATTACCTTCACGCAAGAAAAAATATTACTGACAAAGTGTTCAATTTAACGTCGTAATACGGCACGATAAGACAATAGCGCGTTGTGAAATATAGTTGTGGCGCATTGTATTCATCTTCCAACGTTGTAAAATATTGTTCGTGATTAATCTAATATTAATTATAGTGATTCAAGATGGCAGTTAGTGGAAATGAAATTAAACTTAAAACTCTTTACGCCAAGAGGGACGTACTCCTTTCACGTATACAATATGTAAGTGATCACATAAAAAATATAAACGTAGATTCAGTGCGAGAAACGTTTTTACGTGAAATCGAAACGGTGGACTCTTTGCGATCGGATTACTGAAATATATTAGACAAAATTAATAGTTTAGAATTACAAATCGACCCTAAGTATACAGTGAACTATCAACCACTTCTATCATTTGAAGATATGTTGTGTCGGATAAAATGGACGGCAAAGCTCTTACAGTCTCCAGCACAAAGCAAAGCAAAACCAGAAATTCAGGTACGCCCACGTGGATCACTTAGATTGCCCCCCCCCCCATAGATATTCCTGTATTCAATGGAGATATTAAAACTTGGCCGTTGTTTATTAACAGCTTTCAAAACACCATACATAACAATCCATCGTTATCGGACGATATATGAAAGATTGTATTATTTAATTAGTAAATTGAGTGGTAGGGCACAGTCTATTTGTTCGGGTTCACACAAACAGCAAACAATTATTCGTTAATATTCGAAACGCTTAAAGACAAATATGAAGATAAGCGAATGTTAGCCTCAATTTAAACATTCATATTTAAACTAGATATTCGATCTTAAAGCTATATCATCCGCGAACATCACTGGCTTAGAGCAGTTTTTGGATAAATTCGTAGCATCGGTGACTGCGCTCAAGAACCTGAAATTTAATGACCTTACAGACGTTGTGTTTCTCCATATCGCCTTAAAGAAGCTAGACTCGGACACCGTGTGTGCGTTTGAAATGGAGCATCGTTGCTCTGAGTTACCGTCATTTGACTCCTTAGCTTCCTTTGTACGAGATCAAATTAAAGTGATACAGCGTTCCTCGAATGTCAAACAAAAAGTTAAGAAATGTGTCGATCGCAGACAGATCTCATCAACTAGGACCGCTGGGTCTCTGACGTACGTATCCGCTGCGCCTACATAGCCTCATAGCGCCTGTGTTCTATGTGAGAATAAACAACACGGTAATTTGTATAATTGTGCGACCTTCCGTAAACATTCACCCAGCGAACGTTATAGAATAGTAAAGACGAACAACTTATGTTTAAATTGCCTAAGCGATAGACATTTAATTGCTTAATGCAATTCTAGGTCCGTGTGTAACAAGTGCGCCAGCAGACATCACACGTTTTTACATTTCGAAAGTGGCAACATATTCGCGTTGAGTAAATCGGACAAGGAAACTACACATACTAAAGTCGACGCTTCTAACGGTCGACCGGGTGACGTCTGCCTGTGCTCACTGTCGAATACGGGAACGCAGTCTCCTTCCACCGTGTTGCTGGGTACAGCCCATACCGTAGTTAGGGATTCGCATGGAAACGAACAAAGTGTTCGTGCATTGCTAGACAGCGGATCACAGAGTAGCTTCATAAAGCGACAATGCTGCCAGCGTTTAGGATTGCTAATATATAAGATACCTTCATGTCCCGTAGTCAGAGACATCGGAGGTACTAATAAAATTACCCAGGGCTCTATAAATTTGAAATTTTATTCTCGGCTAGATCGTAGTATTAACTTTAATATAAATACATTAGTAGTAGATAAAGTCACCGAGCGTCTGCCAACCGTTTCGGTCGACACCTCAGCAATGATTGATTTTGAGAATTTGACTCTGGTAGACGATACTTACGTCGTCCCCAGAGATATAGACATGCTCATTGGAGCATCGGTTTTCCCTCATCTTTTGTTACACAATAAGGTTAGGGGCAACCCCTCGTATACCGCACCTTAAGCACTGGAGACCGCCTTGGGCTACGTCATAGTTGGTACCGCCCCTATTATGGATAATATTTCGGCGACCTCTTATTGTTGTATGGCTGTCGAACCGCTCGAGTCGTTAGTTCGTAAATTTTGGGAGATGGAGGAGGTGAACGTTCCACCTATAGTTAGCCCAGATGATAGATATGCGAGGAAATTTACGTCCGCATGACCGTTCGTGATCGCGACGGTCGATATACTGACTAGATAGAGAAACTAACGTTTTTGATATAGTGTAGCGCTACCCTTTAAAGGGGATGTTTTGTCTCTCGGCGACTCGCGTCAAATGGCGGAAAAACTTTTCTATTGTTTGGAGCGCAGGATGCTCGCTTCACCCAGATTGAAAGAAGCTCATGACGGCGTCATTAATGAATATATAAGGGAGGGTTACATTTCACTTGTGACTCCAAAATTAGATAACTACGAAGATGCGCCGTCGTATTTCATACCGCATCACGGCGTCATTAGGGAAGACAAACTTACGTCCAAGTTACGTGTAGTGCTCGCATGTAGTGCTAGAACTAGCACTCACCTTTCTCTTAACGATATTCTCTATAGTGGGCAAAATTTGCAGGGCAATTTATTTAATATAATAGCAAATTTCCGTTTCGTTTATTCAATATAGCATTATCCGCCGATATTCGCCAAATGTTTCTTTGCATAGGGGTTCGTGAATGCGACCGTCGATTTCAACGCATTTTATATCGCTTTGACCCAAAGGTATCTCTAATGGTGTTTGAATTTAATCGCGTTTGTTTTGGTTTAAAGTCGAGCCCATTTCACGCGCTACGCACGGTGAGACAGCTCGCCTCTGATGAGGGTCCCTTTTATTCTAAAGCTAAGAGGGCAATTGAGAGTGGGTTATATATGGATGATTTTGTGTACTCGGTCGACAGCGTGGAGGAGGCCGTCCTAACCACCGCCGAGGTTATAAAGCTCATGAAATCGGCTCAATTCGATCTCGTCAAGTGGACTAGTAATTCGCGTACGGTTTTGGATACAATCCCACTATCACACCGCCTTTCGGCGATAAAGGAATTCGACGATTCTGATACGCACAAGGTGCTCGGTTTGTGTTGGTCACCGGAGTCCGACGTGTTTAGCCTTAAGGTAAACCCGCCCGCAGAATCGTGCACAAAGCGCACAATGCTGTCATGCGTTGCTAGATTATGGGATGTCAAGGGTTTCGTAGCCCCGCTGGTGCTATACGCTAAGCTTTTGATTAAACAACTTTGGTTATGTGAATGCGATTGGGATGACCCGCCGCCTGATAGCATTGTGCGTTCGTGGCTACGTTTTAGAGGGGAATTTCCTTTACTAAGCGAAATTAAAATAAATAATAAACGTCGATAGAAATAGCGTCATCACTGTCGTTGGGTTTGCAGACGCTAGCGAGAAGGCTTACGGGGGCGTTGTATATTTTCACGTCCAGAATAATGGTAGAAATTCGATCAGCCTCATTAGCTCTAAGTCAAGGGTCCGCAGTTACCAGTGCATGTAGTGGTAGAGTTCACGTAGAAAGAAAATTTGCCTTTTCTGACTCAACCGTCGCTTTATGTTGGGTTCATTTTCACCCCACCGTTGGGATAAGTTTGTCACGAACCGAGTGACCAAGATCCAAGACGAGTACTCTGCCGATTGTCCATCCCGTGGACTCACCCCGATGCAAATAACGGACCACCCGCTTTGGTTCCACGGACCTTCTTGGGTTCACTTGGAACCCTCGCAGTGGCCAATAACCGATTCCGACCCTTCGTCAGTGTTCCAACCACCGGAAGAGAAGAGGCAAGCTTTGGTTGCGAACGTTTCGAGCGAGGTTTCTCCAATCATTGCTTTGGCGAACCTTTTATCCCCTTGGTCGAAATATTGCATAGCGTGATTTACGTTTGTCGATTTGCGAAGTTTCTACCACGACGTTTGTATATCGTAGCGTCCGATTACAACTATGCCAATTTGCTAGTATTGCGTGAATTTCAACGTGCGCATTTTTCCTATGAAATTACAATATTACAATCGAATAGAACTTGTAGCCGCGCTTTTCAACGTCTTAAGCCATTTTTACAAGATGGAATCGTTAGGGTAGGTGGGCGCTTGTCTAACTCGCAGTTGAGTTTCGATCAACGGCACCCTATAGTTTTACCGCGTAAGGACCATATCATGAATTTATTTGTTGATTACCACCATAAATTGAATTCTCACGCTGGCCTATTAATTAAAATAAAACTAAACTAATTATTGGACTCTTTCTGCACGTAATTTAATCCGCAACCGGGTGCACAGATGTATGGCTTGCTTTCGAGTATGCCTAAGCCGTCATTTCCAGAAATGGTGGACCTTAGGTCTTGTCGAGTAACACAATCCGTAAAGCCTTTTATGCACACTGGGTCTGACTTTGCTGGTCCGTTTAAGGTCACGCTCACTCGGTGTCCGCCGGCAGATTTTACACTTTATAAAATAAAATAAAATAAAAGTATTTACATAATCTAAATCATTTATTTATTTTCTTACAAAAGGATAGTGCGGAAATCATTTCTTAAAAATTACTGCACTCAAATGACGTCCTTCTAGTTGCAAACATTCTTGCAGTCTTTCGTTCATATTGGTGAAAACTCTTATGCAAAGTACTGGACTGATAGCCTGGACTTCGCGGCGGATATTTTCTTGTAAGGCGTTTATTGTTGATGGAGAATTATTGCAAACGCGAGACTTGAGATATCCCCAAAGGAAAAAGTCACAAGGGGTCAGATCTGGAGATCTAGGGGGCGAGGCTACGTCGCCGAATCGACTTTTTAATTTTCTAGGAAAAAGCTCTCTCACTTTAATCATTGACTCCCGGGCGGTGTGTGCTGTGGCCCCATCCTGCTGAAAGTGAGTTCTGTTATTGTAGCCGACGTGACGATGCAGCTCGGGTATAAAAAAAAATATCCAACATAGCGCGGTACCGCTCTGCGGTAACAGTTTCAACTCTGTTAAAAAAATACGGGCCAATTATGCGATTTCCAGAAATAGCGCACCAAACCGTGGTCTTCGGCCTGTGAAGAGGTTTTTGATGGACTTAATTTGGGTTGCTCTCACTCCAATATGGCATGTTCTGTTTATTGACATACCCTCCAAGGTGAAAATGCGTCTCGTCACTAAAAAAGATGTTAAACATTCGCGTAGGCGCAGAAAATCGTTCCAAAAAACACGCTTGCGTAAGTCTGCGTCTTTATGTCGTATGTGTATGTACGTCTTTCCCTTCTCACACGCTCTGTGTTTTCAGGCGTAGTTACAGACGTCGAAGGTCCAGGCCGAGGATCATTTATGACTGATCCAGTTTCTCTGAACTTCTTGACCCATGCAAACATAAGTTGATTCGACGGGCCATCCTTTAATCGGCGGATACCGAAGTGAGAATTAAAAGAACGCCTCGCCACATTGATCTAATTGTTGTTCGCAAAATAGGCCTCGACAGCGAAAGCGCGATGCGCTCCCGTCCACTGACTCATGGCTACTAAACAACCCGCAACACTACTGCGTTGAACGATACCCCGCACCTCCCGCCACCGCCTTGCTGCACGCTGTGAGCTCGATGCAAAGTGTAAAATCTGCGGGCGAACACCCGTTATAAGACCCACAAAAGCTTACGTCTGCATTTTCGTAGGTCTGACTCGGGCTGTGCATATAGAACTCGTTGGCGATCTAAGCACAGCGGGCTTCATGGGTGCATTTAAAAGTTTTCTTTCTCGCCGTGGCCCTGTAAGTAAATTGTATTCGGATAACGGTACAAACTACGTCGGTGCGAAACGTATTTTATCAGAATTACATGAGCTTTTAACCAGTAAATATTATAATTTGGAGTTCGCTCACATCCTAGCCGAGAACCGCATCGAGTGATCTCTGAACGTCCCCGTCGCGAGCCATTTTGGGGGAAATTGGGAGACTAATATTAAGAGTCTAAAGAGTCATTTATACCGAGTAATAGAAGATCAAATTTTGTCCTTCGAAGAGTTAAGTACTGTGCTCGCTCAAATTGAGTGCGTCATGAATAGTCGCCCCCTATGTAGTACGTTGTCAAGTGACTCCTCGGAGCCTCTGCGCTAACTCCCAGCACATTTTTTGAATTTAATGCCTTTGAAATATCTTCCCGCCACAGACATGGACGAGAACAAACTTAGTATTTCTGCACGCCATAAATTATTGGACCGGTTGGTGCAGTCGTTTTGGAAACGATGGAGGATGGAATACTTGCATACGTTGCAGTCTTGGCAAAAATGGAACACAATAACTGAACCTTTAACTGTCGGAACTGTGGTTGTACTCACCAAGGAGAATACGCCGCCTCTCCATTGGCCATTATGGATCGTCGAAGAAGTTTTCCCGATTCCGACGTAGTAACTAGGGTAGCTCACGTTAGGGCTACGACTGGGTCTAACATGCGCCCTGTTGTGCGTTTGTGCCCTTTGCCCAATCAATAGTTTGAATTAGCTTTCTAGATTAGAAATTATAGTCGAAAATTAGGTTTAATCTTAGCTTTATTTATTTTGAAGGGGACCCTTCAAGCCGGGGGGGGGGGATGATTACGCGGAAATTATTTGTGTATTTTAATTTTGTTCGAGGGTATATTTGCCAAGTGTTTATCCTTCCTTTGACCTCATGTGCCTTCCGTACACACTGAAAGGGGGGGGGGAGGGGTCTAGAAGGTGACGCGAATCTTTCTACCAATGAGACGCGCGCCCGACCGAGGTGCCTTGGTGGGAAAGCCGAGGCAATAAAGGCTCGCGCGCTACCCTCGAGCGGCCTCTTGCTTTCGCGCCGCTTGTCTGAACCGCACGACCTGGGGCTGTCGCGCCCCAGAAGTAACCGCCTCACATAGTGTGAGATATCGTCGCGCACCGCTCTCTTCCTTCGTACCGCTAGCCTGGATCGCATCTCTGGGGCGCCCCAGAAGAAACCACCTCACTTCGCGTCACCGCAACGGAAGCGTCGTCCGCCGCATCAGAATCACACCCCGGTTAGTGTGTTTCCTGTAATTTTGCTCCTACTTGAGCATTTTGTTTGTTAGTTAACCCACCCCATTTTGTTTCTCTTAATGTGCTCAAGTAGAATTCCATCCTAACCTTGGCAAGCAATAGATTTGGAAGAGCAAGTGCATTGTCCAAGGTCGCCACGTGCTACTTCCGCCATCTTGATGAAGCTTAAGAAGCCAACCGCGTATACAGTCCACCTAGTATAATATCTCGCAAAATAGGGTCAAGGCTCGACCTGGGAATCGAACTCGGGAACCCCTAGGCCCGCCGCCCAACCATCAATAATAATTAATAATTTATATTTGCAATAATTTATAATAATTGAAATTATGAAAAACATAATTTATAATTTATTTATTAATAATAATAATAAATAATAATAATTTCGTTATTTTTTTTCGTTGAATGATATTTCAAACTAACGCATAATAGCCCGTTTTTATTGTGACAACTTAGCGATCGCAGCGCCTCAATTATTTGGTCCATATTTCTGGGACACTATTTTCTACATCGATCGTTCTCCTGTTCTCTTACCTTCATGGCAACGCCGCTGTAGGTATATAATTTGACAATATAATTATATGTGTTCAAGAACTTATATAATAAGTTGCACGTCTGCCACAAATACTTAGAACTTCTATTCGTTACCTAGAATAAATCTCGTGTTCAAAGAGTTAAGTAAGTGTACTAGAATGCATATTCCACGTTGTTAACGAAAGATGAGGTTACGAATTAAAACAAAATTGTCACTTATTATTCCTTACTGAGTTTGAGCACTGGCTGAGCCAGTTTAAATCAGTTTTTCTCTGTACGTAAAGAGTAGCCAATGCTCACGGACGCACGTGCCTCAAGCTTTTAGTAGTGTAACCACCATAGCGCGGTTGTATAAAGCTTTGTCTCTGTATGATACGGTTTCTGTATCCATGTGCCCATGCACTGCCACTTTCGGGGATTTTATCATAGTTGTCGCTTAGAGAGAGAGAGAGTAGTATATTATCAAAGAGATTTAAATATATGTGACAATAAAAATTGCCGATAAAATTACCTAAATTAACACTTTAATTTACTTTACACAAATTAAAACTAAAAACACTAATAATTAAACACACTAATTCACTTAATTCTGCTCCGAAGCTTCGCTTGTGTCGCCGAGTTCAACTCTGCCCCGATCGCATCTTGCAGCGCCTATATATTTAAATTAGCAAAGAAATATCCAGAATGTTCAAGTAAACACGCGCAAGGTACCGAGCGTTCGAGTTTCGACTAGGCGCTGTCGGTTGAGTGATTTGTGATGTCATTTTCTCAATGCTCCCCTCGCTCTCGTTCCTGACACTAGATGGCGCT